TTGTTGTCTACTTAAAATAAAAGCAAATGACAGACTCTATGCTCGAATGTACTTTCGAGTTTTAAATCCTACAAACAATGACATTACAATTAAAATCACAATTGTTTCAGTTGTGAAAATGGTGCTGTTGTTGTTGTTGCCATCGCCATTCCAGAACAAAGTACCCGGCATCTAAACCTAGTCACAAGGATTTTAGTCTTAACAACTATATTTATACATATCTGTATTTCAGGGGCGGGTGTGTGAGGGGTGTGGAACACAACTTAACCGAGATCATTTGAAGGCGGGAGTATGCTCCAGCTCCTCCGCTCCTCCCTTGCTTTGTATTTTAACTTAAAAATGTATTTGAAACTCTCGTAGAAAGTGTTTAAATGGAATGTGTAGAGTGAATCCTTTTTATGGCTCTGTTGTTGTTGCTGTTGTTCTTCAGTCTAAACTTAAATTGTTATTGCCACCGTCTATAAACAACACTTAGACACGCAATTCTCCAAGTGAAATGTTATTTTGTTGAGAGTGTGTGTGTGAATGTTCAGAGGAGGTATTGTTCATTTACCGGTTTACATTTGTTTCCATTTAACTCTTAACTAACTCTTTAGCTATTACAGGGGCACAGTGGGGTGGATGGAAAAAAATGCACAAAAAAATAATAATAATTAAAAACCAGTAAAGAAAGTCTTAAAGTCGGGCGGGGCCGACTTTATGATACCCTACAACAGTTTGCTAATTTGGTAGAGCTCCGCATAACAATTAAAACTTTTTATGGGAGAATTCAATCATAGACGCTATAATTATAATTTAAAGCTCAAAGGACTAAATATGCCGAAGCATTTGTACCTTTTAAATTCGGACTTGTATTGCACATTTGGTGCACAATTAATTTGAAATCGGATAAAGATATATATAGGACCTATATCTAAATCGGAACCGATCTCCATAAAATTTTGCAAAGATATTTCTGAGATGTATTTGAAATATTTCCCTGAATATCGTTGTTACGGAGTGCATATTACGGCTGTGGGTAACAAATATAACAAATCGGATGAAGAGTATATATAGGAGCTATAGCTATATCTGAACCGATCTTCATCAAATTTGACATACTAGCTTCTAGACTCAATTTGGTCGTAAGTACCAAATTCCATTCCATTTGGGCTAATATCACACGTTTGGTGCGCAATAAAAGGCAAATCGGAGCTATATCCAAATTTTAACCTATCTCGATAAAAATTAGCAAGGGTATTACTGAGTTATATTTGATATATTTTCACAAGTATCGTTGTTACAGAGTGTATATTACGGCTGCGGAGGACAAAAATAACAAATCGGATGAATAATATATATGGGATAGCTCCCATCTGAACCGATTTCGATAAAATTTGGCATACTTATTATCAGGGCCATCTGGTCGTATGTGAAAAATTCCATACTATTTGGGCTGATATTACATGTTTGGTGCACAATATAAGGCAAATTGTACGGAAATATGTATGGAAGCTATACCTAAATTTTGACCGATTATCTCCAATTTCAATAGGGTTCGTCCTTGGGGCAAATAAATTATTTGTGCAAACTTTCATCTGAATCGTGCAATAAATGCGACCTGTACTTTGTTTACAAACATACATGGACAGACGAACAGACAGGCGGACTGACGGACTTACGGACGGACATGCATAAATCGACTCAGAATGTGATTCTATGCAGATCACCAAAAGGAACTATGGGTCTGTCTCGTTTCCTTTTGCCTGTTACAAACAAATGAACAAAGACATAATACACTGACCACCTTGTGGTGTGCAAATGAAAAATCCGATGTCATTCAACATTTTAAGAGGAATAAAGCTTTGGCAATATCCAACTATCATCTGGTAAATCCTCCTCAAATGTTAGAAATTTTTTTATAACATTTTTATTTTAAACGTTTTGCATTCCAGCACTGGACAGATATAGGCATATATGCCCTCTCCTTCTGGTAACTACTCCCACCATAAAAATTGAAAATATTAAATAAATAAAAATCTCAAATAAATCTCGAGAAGTATCCAATTTGGTTGAAACTTTGCATCCCGAAATATTTTTATCGAATTTATGTTAAGGATTAAATGCTACCACTTAGGAGCGAAAATTTGAATAATCCTAATTATTAAAAAAAGGCAACCTGATTCAAAAAATTATGACAAAATATTTAAATTAACATCTTTTCAGCACTACACTATCTAGAGCAAAGAAGAGATACATTGTCCCCTGCTTTGACACCTTTCCAAAATTTGAAGAAAAAAATATTTAAAAAAAAATGAAATTAGTTTCCCATTTTCTTCAAATTTTGTAAATCTCAGTATTTTCCGGTGTCAAAATGGGACATACGATCATCATCTTTTCGTAACCCCCCTACATAATTTCAAAGATTTCTATAGAGAACTTCGGTCCAACAATATGCTGGGGAAATAATATCCTTCGGCGTACCGTCACCGGTCTGAAATCTTAAAAATACTTCATTTAGGTAGGTGCTAAAAATTAACCTTCTATAGAAATTTTTTTGCAAATTACAACCGATTAGGTTGGTAATTATGGTTGGAATATTCTAGATACCGAAAATCCGCAAATAGGACCAGGGTATTTTTGGACCAAATCCGATTCAGAACATTTAGAGTCGATGTAGAGGCGACCGTCCTACAGCCCTACCGTCCGTCTGTCTGTCTGGCTATAACTCTCAAAGGGAGTATGTGATTTGGACCAAACTTGCCGCACAAGTTTTTGTCGAGTTTTGTGATGGGCAATATCGGAACATTCCCCACAAAAAGTCAACAATTTCAAGAAACGATGAAACTTCATTCGATTTTCTTCAAACTTTGCAAATCTTAATATTTGCATCTGCGAAAAATAAAGTGCGAAAATGGACAGCCCACTCCATTAAGCATCTCCCCCACAAAGGGTCAAAATTTTGAATTACTAAAACGATAATGAAATGCGAATTAATCATGCAATTCTCCTAAAACTTCACATAAACCAATATTTCTACTAAAGCAAGAGCTGGTGTAAAGGTGGAATATATCGGTCCATACTTTCGGGTACTTCCCCCAATAGCCAATGTTTTTAATAATTAGTCTCTCATAAAAAACGAAATAATCATAAGATTATCATCAAATTTCACACATCTCAATATTTTTTAAAACAAGATCTGGTGTGAAGATTGTATATATCGGTCCAATCCTTCTGCGACCTTCTACAAAATATAAACATTTCGAATAATCGAAACGCTCATAAAATGCGAAATAATCATCAGATTCCTTTCAAAATCGGCGCATCTCAATACTTCTATCAACACACGATCTGTTGTGAAAAGTTGGATAGCAGCCATCTCTCCCCACGAAATGTCAAAATTTTAAATTTCCAAAACGATCCATACTTCTATCAACACAAGATCTGAAATGTAAGATATTGGCCACTTCTTTAGGTACCTCCCCCATAAAAGGGTCAAAATTTTGAATTTCCGAAATGATCTTAAAAACCTCAAATTTTTTCACCGTCCCAAATTATTTGCTAAAAAATTATAATCCCCCACAGAAGGTCAAAATTTGCACTTATTATGTTTCCATAACTTGCGAAAGAAGTCGAAAGATTCGTGGAGTATCTTAATATTTCTCTCCACCAGAGATTTGATATGAATATGGAATATTTCGGCCACTCCTTCTTGATCCTTCCGCCAAATGGTTAAAATTTTAATTAAGAATTATTCGCATACATTTGGAAATAAATGTTCGATATTCATCAAATTGGAAGTGGAATACATCTGTCCTCTATATCCGGAACCTGACACACATAACATTTTTTTTAAACTTATCAAATATCTCATATAAAGCGAAGGAAGTAGTCGATATAGTCCAAACCTGACACCTTTAAGGTCATTATAGGTCAGACACAAAATGTACAATATTGACCCACTCCTTCGGAACCACCCACCCATAAAGGGTCAACTGTTCAAATAACCGTAACGCAAGTCAAAATATTCTTCCTTCTTTTCCATTAGTCCCTACCAGCTATTGTTCGGTATTATAACTCCTGATTTTGATTCCTGTGGCATAACTTTTTCTGGTCCACAGGTCCACGTTTTCCTACATCACCCAAGTGGCCTACCTGACCTGAGGATATTGGCCACATTTTCCCAAGAAATTGATTCAAATTTAGTATTTGAAAGTCGATATGTGGGTTCACTTTTTGGTATAGAACCCATTTTACTGGCGTTCAAATATTGAATCGCGATACTTATTAAAAATTATTGTGCTCCCAAGACATCCTGATGTATTGGTGTAGTATTTAATCATAAATACGCTATAAAGCCTTAGGCAGAGAGGCATAAGGGATTTTCTCGTATTGACAACTCTGCCTTTGTCATCTAACTCTTCATTGAGAAAGCATCGTATCTCCCGTTCTAAACCGACCGATTCGTTACTCCCTTAGTACGCATTGGCCTTACATTTAAAACATTAGTATTATTCTATTCATTCTATTCAATATCACTTTTAAAATTTCAATCGTCACTCTTTTTTCTTTCATCTCGTTTTTTTTCACTTCCCACCCACTGTGCGCCCATTAATGTAACGAAATGCACAACCACATCTTTGGTAATGGCAGGTTAAAACCCATTTAATGCCAAAGGATTCACACCACACATTTGCTAAACACTACTGCAATCTAACCTAACATCAGCAGTATTTACAATCACACTAGCACTTACACACACACACCCTCTACCATACTCTCATCACCCTCTACCATACATACCATTGGCAAAAAAAACTCTAAATGCAGCATATATGGCTTTACGATTGCTTGGCAGGACAACAATTAGCAGAGGGCCATGTTAGCAAAAAACTAGAATTCTCACAAAAGCCCACCTTCAAATATCCATTCTGGTACTGCTGGTGTTCAATGCTTGCAAATCTCCAACTAAACGCCCATTATTGGAAAGCCATCAATTTTTACGAGTAACACGTGCTCAATCACCTTAACCTGCTGCAGTTAGGCTAGCCGGGGAATTGACGATGGCCAAGGAACAAGAAATGTAACGCGAGAAAAAAAATTCTCGGCATGGCAAATCACTGCAGACTTAAATCTCGACCAAACGAATGAAAATTGTTGCCGGTGGGAGGTGGTGGTGGTGGGGTGCAGGGTGATATCGATGCTGGTGATGACAGGCAGGAATTGCCATCCAGAGAGTACAGGCTGTTGTAGTTGATTTCCGAAGACTCATTGCCATTCTCGAGCATATCGATGAGGGCACAAATATAGGTCTGGGCCATTTGTAGTGTCTCAAATTTGGAGAGTTTTTGTTCCAAGTCGGGAGCTGGCACAACTTCACGCAGCCGATCAAATGCCTCATTTAGACCATTCATGCGTTTACGTTCCCGGGCATTGGCTGCTTGACGACGTCGTTTCAACACCGTAGGACTGGGAGGATTTGGTGGTTCAGAGCTATTAGACTTTTTCGAGGAGGTGGAATTGGTGCGACTTTTGGGTTTCCTTTCTTTTTTGTTGCTTGACTTGGTCTTCGGGTTTGAGTTGATTTCACTGCTCAATTCTGTGGAACTTTGATTTGGTGTTAACTGAGATTCCAGTGAATATGCAGGAAGAGGTTGGTGATGATAATATCCGCCATTGGGTGTGGAGGTAACCATGGTATTGCCCATTGTCCAATTATCCATGTAGACTGTTGCATTTCCCACATAAGGTGTTGAATTCAGTGGAGAATTGGTGTTCAGGTGATAACTGGGGCTGCCCAAATATTGGGAGCTATCATCTTCCGCCGAGGAAGGATATGCCGTGTTGTAATCTGTCAGCACTCCATGTGAGGTTGGCAAGGGTTTATACGTCAAATAGGAACTCATGTTCTTAACAAAATTTTCCGAATTTCGATTTGGTTTTTTTTGGAATTTCGTAATTTTTTCTTTGGGAAAAACTCGATCTTAACAAGTCGCTGTTTGTTCGACAACTAATCCTCGTTTCAAAACTGTGACTCTTGACTCTTCAATTTGAAAGTGGCACTTTTAAGTGGTGACTTCTTCTTCTTCTTCTTCGCCGTTTCCAACCTCCACCACAACGAAATTGGGAAAAAAGCGTCAGTTGTTCTCCCAAAACAATTAGACCAACTGGCATGCGACCGACACTCATCCAAACACACAAAGATCTTTGCCGAACGACCATGTGTTCCATCGAACGCCTTCTCCAAGCAGCGGCATAAGCGTTCTTGGCACGAGCTGGCTGATATCTCCGTTCTTCAATCTATCATTATTCTTTATCCATGTTGTTGTTGTTGTTTATGTTATGAAATGTTTTTTGTGAATGAATTGAAAATAGGATCCTCCCGGGGCATATCATCCCTGAGCCAAGAACAACCCCCAACTCCCTCGCTCTCATTTGCCTTGGCTGACCACTTTACGAGCGAGCACGCATTCCTGTTGCAAATAGCCTATGAAAGTGCATAAATTAAGGATCATCATCATTAAAATATCACCAAACTGGCCAACAATAACAGCAACAACAAAAACATAATGAAAGGATATTTTTTTGATAAGGTCTAAAGGGAGGGAGTTATAGACATAAGGGTTGTTTTTGCAATATTTGACTGACCTGTCCTTATATTAGTGTTGTTGTTTGGCAGAGGGTGTATTTTTTGGATGGCTCAAATAAATAACTCAGTTTGGAAAAAAAACAAAAAACTGTTATTGCCCTAGGTCTGCATGGCTCGTGCTGCTAACTGTTGTCCATGGCCATGTTATGGGCCAAATGCTAAAAGAAGAGGTGTCAAAGGCAAATACACTGACGGAAAAGGAAACGGGTTGTAACTTATTAGCCTTACAATAAATTTCTATCAAAACAAGTAAAGGTGGCCTCAAGTATGTCCAAGAGGTTCCAACTATAATTCGAGAGATAGAGAGGGCCAGGTATAGATTAAGAGACTTTCCACCTTCTTCTGTGGATATAACGCCTTCCACAAATCTCCAAGGGATAGAATACCTTCCACAGGTCTTCTGTGGAGAGATAGAGGGACCAGGTATAGATTAAGAGACCTTTCACAGGCCTTCCACAAATCTCCAAGGGATAGAATACCTTCCACAGGTCTTCTGTGGATAGAATGCCTTTCACAGGACTTCTGTGGAAAGAATGCCTTTCACAGGTCTTCTGTGGAAAGAAGACGATCCACAGATCTACTGTTGATAGCAGACCTTCCATATGCCTTCTGAGGATTATTTCTTTTCACAGGACTTCTGTGGATAGAATACTATTCTCAGGTCTTCTGTGGACAGAAGACTTTCAACAGGTCTACTGTGGTTTCAAGGCCTTCTACAAATCTCCAAGGGATAGAATACACCCCACAGGTGTTAGGAGGATAGACCACAGATCTCTCGTTGATAGAATACCTTTCAATGGTTTTCAGGTGATAGAAGATCTTCCAAAAGTTTCGGGCATAATACCTTCCACAGGTCTTCTGTAGAATGCCCACAGATCTTCTGCGGATAGAATACCTCCGACAGGTCCTTTGTGGAAAAAAGACCATTGACAGATATTCTGTTGATTGTAGACCTTGCAAATGTCTTCTGAGGATAGAATTCTTTCCACAGGTCTACTGTGGATAAAATACCATTCAGAGGTCTTCTGTGGATAGAAGACCTTCCAAAGGTCTTCTGCAGATAGAAAACCTTCCACAGGTCTTCTGTGGATAAGATATCTTCCAAACAGGTCTTCTATGGATATAAGACCTTTCGAAGGTCTTTTGCGGAAAGAAGGTCATCCACATCTGTTGATAGAATGTCTTCCATATTTCTTCTGAGAATAAAAGAGCCACCAGATCTTTTGTGGAAAGAAGGTTATCCACAGATCTTCTGTTGGTGGAATGCATTCCATATTTCTTCTGAGGATAAAAGAGCTACCACGTGTCTTCTGTGCATAGAAGATTTTCGGCAGATCTTCTGTAGATGAAATATAATCCACGCTTTTTCTGTGGATAGGAAACCTTCCACAGTTCTCTTTTATAGATAGAAGACCACAGAATACCTTCCACAGGTCTTGTGTAGATTAAAATCCTTCCACAAGCATTCTATGATTAAAAGACCTTGAACAGGTTTCCTATAAAAAAAAGTACTTCAACAGGTCTTCTATGGATAAAAGACCTACCTCAGGTCTTAAATCCATAGAACACCTTCTAAAAGTCCTCCATGGATAAAATTACTTCCACAGGTCTTCTGTGGATAGAGTACCTTCCACGGGTATTCTATGAACAAAACACCTTCCACAGGTCTTCTGTGGATAGAATACCTCTCAGAGGCCTTCTGTGGAATGGAGATCTTCCGCTGGACTTCTGTTGATAAAGTGCCTTCCACAGGACTCCTATGGACAGAGGACCTTCCACAGGTCTTTTGTGCATAGCAGACCTTTCGCAGGACTTCTGTGGATAGAAGACCGCTCACAGGTCTTCCGTGCATAGAATAGCTTCCACAAGTCCTCCATAGATAGAAGACCTTCCACAGGTCTTTAGTAGGTAGAATTCCTTACATAGGTCTTCTGTGGAAAAAAGATCTTCCGTAGATCTTCTATGTATAGAAAATCTTCCACAATTTTTCTGCGGATAGAATACCTTCCACAGATCTTCTGTACGTAGAAGACCTTCCCAAGTTTTTCAGTTGATAAAATATCATGCACCGACCTTCTATGGATGGATTACCTTCCCCAGTTCTTGTGTGGATAGGAAACATTTCATCGGTATTCTCTGAATATAACAACCTTCCGCAGGTCTTCTGGAGATAGAATACTTTCCATAGATGTTTTGTTGATAAAATACCTTCCACTGGCCTTTTATGAACAGAAACCGGCCACCGGTCTTCCGTGGATAGAAGACCTTCCAGAGGTCGCTTTTGTAGATAAAAGATCTTCTACAGGTCCTCTGTGGATAGAATACTATCCACAGGTTTTCTACGGAAAAAGACTATTCTCAGGCTTCTATGGATAGAAGACATAGAGATCCTCTTTGTGTCCCAGGTGATTTCTCAAATGACTCTGGGATTCTCCCATGTCAACAGGGTGATTTTCCATATGTTCCAAGGGATTATCCCATGTCCCTGGAGTATTTTCTTTATGTCCCAGTGGATACGCCTCTTTGTTTGATGGAAGACCTTTGACCGGTCTGCTATGGATTGAAAACCTTCCTCTCTTGAACCTCGGCATCGCTTCACAGTGTATTAAAATTCCTGCTAATTTTTGACAAAATGCCAAATTGGCCATCTATCGCTTATGCCGATCAATATCGTCGTCATTGACATAACGTCGTTCAAGTCGTCAAACAATTGCCGAGGGTTTTTAGCCACTCAACAAAGGACATTTATAATAATTTGTGACTTTCACGGTTAACGGCCAGCTCAGAAATTGGCTACTGGCTTATGTCAGTCAGACTAAAGAAACAACAACAACCACAAAAAAGAAGACAGTGACACAAACTTGATGCCAAACGCATAGCAAAAAAAAAACAATTTTCCCAAAAGAAACTAACCAACATAAATGGCTGGACAGGACATGCAATGCCAACACGGCAGGATGGACTGTGCTACCACGACAGGAAAGCCATACCACAAGGAGAACAACAAAAATAGGAAAACCAAACGCTAAACTAGATATGTAGCAACAACAACGACAACAAAGGAACGAACTCTAAACGAAATGACCATATGGTGCACTTTCGACTGAGACTACTAAAAAAGAACGACAACACCAACAAATAGCCACAATAAACCATCAACCATATGCAGCCCAGGACAAAAGGAATAGGAATGTGCCACCGCAACAACAACCATTTGCTATGGCACGAGTCGTTATGAATAACAACAACAGCAGTGCAGGACACACAATATTCCTTGGACAGGGCCAACACATACCAGAGATAACTTAAATTGCAACCAAAAGAACTAACCAAAGACAAGCAGCCGCAGCAGCAGTGAGTCAAACATTCGACCAGGACAGCAGGGACCAGGAAGCCAGGCTTGCTTGCTGTCTGGTTGTCCTGGCAGACAGGCACGCACACATCGCACCAAACAACCATGAAGCATATATACAACCGCAACATGTTGCAACAACAAGTCGTAGGTAGACAGAGCAAAAAAAAAAGGAGCAGAGCCCAAACGGAATTGCCGTAACCATTAACTGATGCTACAATTTGACCCCAAAATATGGTCGAACGTAAAACAAAAAAAACGTAGCAGTAGCAGCAACAGCCGTGGTGGAAACATTGAAGATAGACACCGCCAGGGAAGCGCAGTGTTTAGTTGACTTTTTCAATGGACAGTTACATTTCTGGTTGTTGTCGCTGCCACGTTCCATGCCTTGTTCAAACCCTTTCTTCTTCGACCACACCGCTGCAGACCCCTTACTAAAACAAAATTTCGCATAAAGTGTTAAAGGACTTCCGTGTAAGGCATAGAAGCATACGATACCTTAACACATTACAAACAATCTAAATGAACAATCCCTTTCCCTAGGATCGCAAGGATTTTCCCCGCTTCCCCTTTCAATGGCAGCCTTGTGAAGTGTGAATGGCAAAATTGAATTGATAAGCGAGTTACGTTGAAAGCAGACTAATAGAGCTACACAAATCGTAATATTCAAATCTCTTACGAATACATTGACAAGTATATTTACAACGACACAGATATGGATTTGAAAGTGTGCGACAACATAAATGGGAGGGGGAAGGTCTGAAGGAGCCAGATCAAATGGGATACGATGAAATATTCCAAGTTTTGCGGATAAAATATCGTATTTTTTAGAACTCTTATCCGGTAGGTACTAGAAGGAGTGGACCGATATATCCCATCTTCACAGCAGATTCTGTGTTAGTAGAAATAATGGAATGTGTGAAATATGAG